TTCATGGCTGCTGCAGGTGGTGATTTGCATGAAGTGATGGTATAGGTAAGACGGTGGTGGTGGTGGTGACGGTATGGGTAAACGTTGATGCTGCAGGAGGTAGAGCGAATGCTCACGGCCCAGCTTTGATCGTATGTATGAATGACAGGGGGAGGCCGTTGTAAGGAGGGAGGGAGGAGAGTTGGTGAAGGAGGACCAGTGTGTGTTTGATTTGGCCCCACATCCTCGATCTCTCCACACACTCAGGGTCTCTATACAGTCACCTATCCACTAATAGTGACTCTTCAGTTAGTCATGTTAATGTATCTTACTCACTCCCTCTTTCCCCATGCTGACAGAACTAGCTTCATAACTATGAACTATTAATTTGCCAGAATAGGATATCTCCACTACTATGTCCTGATTCCCAGTGTAATCAGAAAATGTCAACCTCTCTTCCTCACAGCCTAACAATACTTCACTTGGACTTTTCAATGAGAGACATCCAGAAGTAGAGAGAGAGGAGGAGGACAACACGTTATTTTTTAACTCAGAAATTGGAAAGTCACTTGTAAGGTTTAATGTGCCTTCAAGAATAACGTTCACAGCAGCATGTCTCATATGTATTACCAGTTTCCTTGGCTTCTAAGTTTATAAAATTGCTGGGCAATACGAGTATTCATGGTACTAAAGCATATATGTAATGGTCTGCGGTGGGTTATATTTAGATGAATCCAAGTGGCCTGTTAGAGACCCTTTTCTTTATCATTCTCATGTGGTATTGGCTATTGGGGTGAGGCGAAGGAAGGCAACTAAACCCAGGTATTATTGTGTGTAATTCAGGAAGAGGCAGAACACCCAGGAAGAATCTGTGAAGGAAGAGGTCAGGGCGTTCTTGGTGATTAGGATTCAAGGAAGTGGGGAAGCGAAAAGAGCACTGGAGAGACTGTCTCAACAGCCCTGAGAAACTTTAAGGTTCTCTTTATTCTTTTCAACAGATTAGAGAGAAGGAACAAGCTTATTGTGTGTGTGTGGCTGGGAGGGAGATACATGCGATCGTCATAGGCAGTGTATAGGGAGATGACTGGAGTAAAGATATGTAGTATATTTTATATTTTATCCATCAAGATAAACGGTACAGAAGAGTGTGGTACAGGAGGCCACGGTTGAGGTGATTTGACCCCACATTTCTTCCTGCCAAGCAATGTAAATCAGAATTTACTTGAAGGACGACCCCTCAGTTCTACTAACTGAGAACCCTGATTTTTTTCTGTAGGTTCAGTACACACCTGATCTCAAATTGCCAAATTTGATGAAGGTTTGAACGAAATGCAAAGATTAAGAATATTATATACAATTACCTAGAATCAGACCAAACATTAAGCTAGAGCTCCAAAGCCAAGGTAGTCTGTCTACTTCTATGGGTGGCCCTGAATCATCCCAGCCCTCAGAAATCTTAGATGGTAGAATAAAATCTGGGGGTGACAGAACATGGCGGGATTAAACACACTGTGAGCATGTGGATTGGATCTTTCTGACGTGGAGGAGACTCATCCTGCCAAAGGTGCTTACGGAAGGGAACAATTTAGGTCTCCCTCGGTCATTGTACTAATAAGTGTGTGGTGTCCCAAGAAGCCATGCAGAGCAATGACCCACTTCCTGCTTCAGTTCTGTTATTCCCAGAGAGGTCCAACAGCTGTTGAGGCCCTTGACGGAGGTGGTCAGTTTTTAAAAAGTCTGTTGTTACGGTGTGGCACCTGAGTTAGCGTGACCAAGGGCCGGGTAAAGAGCAAGGTTCACATGCCTGGTGCCTCCTGCAGTGTGAGGCGGGATCAGGTGAGGCTTGGGAGGAGGAAGGGCCATGCTGTTACCAGTGAGTACTGCTGCCATGGCTGAGACAGACGGAAGCAGGTAGCGGTTGGCCAGCATGGTGGACTGAACACACACACCAATGAACGACGACCAACCCTGCCAACGGCCTCACCCCCATCCCCACCCTCCCTAACTCTCCTCAGCCTTCCTTCTAATTTTTTCATAACTTTCTAACCACATTTCTCCTTGTAATCCTGTTACGTGTCTGTCTTTTAACTTTGGCACCCAAATTATCTGTTAAATTTAATCTCCAAACCTCAACCAGCCCTGAGTACATGGCGGCTATAAGAGTAAAGTCCCAGGTTTAATTTCTCTGCTAGATGCAGGAAATTCATTAAAGCAGAAAATCAAACGCTGTCATAATTTATACTGGTATAAAAATCTTTGTAAGAGTCTCAAATTCTTGAGGTGGACTAAGATGATCTGTACTAAAATGTCACACACACACACACATACTCATGAAGACATATCAACATGGCAGTTCCTTCATTTTAAGACTCCCCACCCCACAATACTACAGCTAAATCTGCTTTTTCTTCCTCATTCTTTCCGATCCCCCAAACCCTGTATACTTCATATTCTTTTGCTGATGATATATAATGTTTCATCAAAAAGAATAAACAGAGGCTTTGGTGAGGGGAATGTAGAGGTGAAAGGGAGGGGCCTTATCTGAATTGATTAATATGTAATCTTGGATGAATGTATGTCTTGGACTGAGGCCCCAAAAGCAGTTGTATAATTAGCATATATATAAACCCTCATATTCCTTTCCCTCCCTCCCTCCTCCCCCTCTCTCTTCAATATCCCTTTGTTTGTTGTTTATTGTTAACACTATGAAAATGCCACAGCAATATGCAAGCGGTCTAACTTGTACACAAAAAAGCAACGAAGGCAAAACAGGAAATAATAGGAGCTAATAAAAAAATGCAAAAAATAAGAATCGGGGCTACAAAATAAAATACAGCTACAAAAACAGTAAAAATGTTAACGGGCTACAAAAAACAGAAAAAAAAATCATACAAAAACAGTAAAAAATAAGTAACGGACTACAAAAAACAGTAAAATAAAGACCAAATAAAAAATTTTAAAAATGCTACAAAATAAAAATGTTAACAGGGATACAAAAACAGTAAAAATAAAGAATAAAAACAAAAAAAAAATGAATCAAACAAAAAAAAAAAAAAGCATAGGACATACAAAAAATTAAAAAATAAGTAAACAGAAGAATATAAAAACAGTAAAAAATGTTAACGGGGCTACAAAAACGGTAAAAAAAATTAACGAGGCTACAAAAACAGTAGAACAGGGTTGTTTACAGTGAAGAAGACACGTAAGGACAATACACGATAAAGAGTGACTTATATATAATAAAAAAAAAGTTATATTAACGAAGGAATTTATTTATTTAACCATTGTGTTGATGTGAGGTAAAAAGAATATACTATGTTGAATATTACATGTTATTGTAGATGTAGGAACAGGCACAATTGACTCAGATGAAGCAAGACAGTTGACTCATGAAGTAAGACAATTGACTCAGATGAAGCAAGACACAATTGACTCAGATGAGGCAAGACAGTTGACTCAGATGAAGACAATTGACTCAGATGAAGTAAGACACAATTGACTCAGTTGAAGTAACACACAATTGACTCAGTTGAAGTAAGACAGTTGACTCAGATGAAGTAAGATTTAAGCGAGTCATATGAAGTGTGGGGGAGTAGGAAGTCGACTCAGCCCTAAGGAGGCGATGAAGGAAGGGGGTGAAGGAGGAGGAGGAGGAGGAGGGGGTGAAGGAGATTTCAATACGACGGAGGGAAGTAATCCTTGAGGGGCGGACTCTCACAATAGCAGCGTCTGTGTAGCGTCTGTGTCTGTGTACTAGTGTAGTCTGTGTCTGTCTGTGTGGAGGATTACCAACAGTTTGTGGTAATAATAATGATCACCTCCATTGTTTCCTTCCCCTTTCATCCCTCACCCCCCCCTCCTCACCTCCCTCACCCCCCCTCCTCACCCCCCTCACCTCCCCCCTTCTCTCCCCCTCACCCTCCTGTGTTACTTTCTCAGCTCACGCCTCACGACAACTTACATTTGTTATTGTATTACGTCACGAGGGGTTCATTATATACACCCTACTGTGTTGTAAGATGAGGGGGCAGGGAGAGGGGGAGGGGGGTGGGGGGGGGTGAGGGGGTTGAGAGAGCACGTGGAAGAAGGTGGAGGAGAGATGAAAGAACACGTAGGAAGAATAGAAACAGGAGGAAAGGATGACAGACCACGTACTGTCTGTCATCTCCAACACAATAAAGTCTGGGTGTTCTAACTGTGTCTGTAAGATATATGGAACACTATGAGAAGGCCGAGGTCATCTGTGTGTGTGTATGAATGAGTTATTTTGTTATTTTGTCGTGTATGTTATTTTGTCGTGTATGTTATTTTGTCGTGTTTTTTGTGGGTCTTTTATTTATTCTTTGTTTATTTGTTATTTTTTGGTTTATTTTTTGTTTATTTTTTGGTTTTTATTTGGTTTTGTTTTGTTTACGTATGTGTGTGTTAGGGTAGCTATTGGTTGTGGGTGATAGATAGATAGATAGATAGATAGATAGAGAGATAGAGAAAGAGAGAGAGAAAAGAAATTTTTCAGAGTATTGTTGAAGAAGTGTTAAGAGGAGACCCCCCTCACGCCCCCTCAGGCCCCCCCGCTCACGCCCCTCACGACAGTACCTTCTTGTTCTAAGCACAGACGGGCCGAATGAGGGGGAGGTGTTCATGATATTCAAGGTTCAGGGTTCAAATGTTTGTAGGGGCTCACAAATCACAGTGCTTGTTCGGGTTCAGTGCAAAGGTTTCACAGTATTTTGCCAGGGTTCAGTGTCCGGGTTTCACAGGCATTTAGTGTATCCTCGCCTTCTGCATCTTCGTCACCAGTTAAGGTTCCCTTCAGGCCCTCACGAGCCTCCCTGGGTGTGTTGGGCACCTCCCTTCTCCCTGCCCTCTCGTCTCCCCTCTATTTCCCCTCCTCTCCTTCCTCGCTTTCTTTCCCTCCTCTTTCCATTCTTCCTCACCAATTTAATCCTTCCATCCTTTCTCTCACCATCCTCTTCATCTTTACATTCTCTCCTCCCTCTGCACCCTCCCCTTCCTCCTTCTCCCATTCATTCCACCCTCTCTTTCACTCTCCCCTTTCTACCTCATTCTTCCTCTCCCTCCTCCCCTCTCCCCCGTCATTATCATATTAACCCTTTTCACTGATCTTGACGCATATTTTGTCTTTCCTCCATCTCCTTTGTACTCTTCTGTCTCCATCTTGTTTTCTCCCTTTGTCCTCTCATCTGATAGAGGAGGAGGAGGAGGAGGAGGAGGATGGGGAGGTCGTAAGTGAGGTACATGAGCAAGCAGGTGAGTGTAAGGGGAAGCAGGCGCAGCAGACACACCTAGCAGGAGGGAGAGAGGGTGGTGCGTGGATATCTATGATCTCTCCTCTAGTCTAGTCCCCCTACACGATGTTCCTACCCCGCCACACCCCACTCCACTCTACCACACACCCCACTCCACCCCGCCACATCCCACTCCACTCTATCACATCCCACTCCACCACACCCCACTCCATTCCACAATAACGTGATTCTCAACTGAGCCTCCCCACTGCAGCAGACAGGTATATGCTTGCCCCTCCCTCCCTGCCCTCCCTCCCTCCTCCCTGCCCCTCCTCCTGCCCCTCCTCCTCCCTGCCCCCTCCTCCCTGCCCCCTCCTCCCTGCCCCCTCCTCCTCCCTGCCCCTCCTCCCTGCCCCCTCCCTCCCTGCCCTCCTCCTCCCTGCCTCCCTCCCTCCCTGCCCCCCCTCCCTCCTCCCTCCCTGCCCCTCCTCCTCCCCTGCCCCCTCCTCCCTGCCCCCTCCTCCTGCCCCTCCCTCCTCCCTGCCCCTCCTCCTCCCTGCCCCCTCCTCCCTCCCTGCCTCCCTCCTCCTCCCTGCCCCCCTCCTCCTCCTCCCTGCCCCCTCCTCCTCCTCTCTGCCCCCCTCCTCCCTTGCCCCCTCCTCCTCCCTGCCCCCCTCCTCCTGCCCCCTCCTCCCTGCCCTCCTCCTCCCTGCCCCTCCCTCCTCCCTGCCCCTCCTCCCTGCTCCTCCCTCCTCCCTGCCCTCCCTGCCCCCTCCTCCCTCCCTGCCCCTCCCTCCCTGCCCACTCCCTCCTCCCTGCCCCCCTCCTCCTCCCTGCCTCTCTCCTCCTCCCTGCCTCTCTCCTCCCTGCCCCCTCCTCCTCTTCCTCCTGCCCCCTCCTCCTTCTCCTTCCTGTCTCCTCCCTGCCTCCATCAATACCTTGTTTCGATACGTTATAGGAACATCGTCGCCTCCACCACCACCATTGACGGCAATCATCCCAATTCACTGTCATTCGTGCCTTCCTGTGCTCCTGTTCTTCCTCCTGTCATTACACTATCAGTTGAAGTAGTCATAGTTGTTGTTAAACGATGGTATGTGTAAAGTAAAGGTAGATGTTATGTTGAACGAGCAGTGGGTGGTGTGTCTCTTGTAATGCTGAGGGGGGAGGTGTGGCTCTCTAGTAATGCAAGCGAGGGGAGGTGGTGTATTTCAGTAATGCAAGCGAGGAGGTGGTGGCTCTCTCAGTAATGCAAGCGAGGGGAGGTGGTGGCTTCAGTAATGCAAGCGAGGGGAGGTGGTGGTTTCAGTAATGCAAGCGAGGGGGGAGGTGGTGTGGTTTCAGTAATGCAAGGAGGGGGGAGGTGGTGTGGCTCTCTCAGTAATTCACCACAACTTCATTTTAATCAACCTCGCTTCTCACCACACGCAAAAAACACGAAAGTTCATAGACATTAAAACGACCGATTTATTCTCTCTTAACCCAGCGGGACCTTTCAGTGGTCAATGGGTTGGAATGTCGACCTCCATTGCATCACAAACAAGCGAATCGATTCATTCACGAGGCGCCATTGTGGTCCACGTGCAAGTAGTTGTAGGACAGGAGTGGCAACGGGACAGAGGGGCTTTATCCTCGCCCTCCCATACCGCCGTAAATCACCCCTTACCATAGGCCGTTCTCACCCTTATGTCAATAGGGTAATATGACGCTTCTCTCACCTATCAGCCCCTCACTGTAGGACTAAGGAGAGTGGGGACTATTATAGCTGGACTGCATCACTGTTTGGCTAAGGGGACTTTCTCAAGGATCCTTCATACCATCCTACCATCCTTCATTCACCCTGCCGTATCCTTCATAGGTTATAAGGGCGATATTGTGGCCAGATTTTAGGTGATTTTCAGTCTTAAAAAAACCCACGTGTAATAAGATCAGTTTTGCACGAGTTTTAGCCTAGGTGTAGTGGATGCATACTGAGGACAAGACGGTCATAAGAGGACAATTATAGGGAGGAAAAAATGCGTAGTTCCCAGTGTGTGTGTGTGTGTGTGTGTGTGTGTGTGTGTGTGTGTGTGTGTGTGTGTGTGTGTGTGTGTGTGTGTGTGTGTGTGTGTGTGTGTGGGGGGGCTGGGGGAGGAGGCGGTGCTGAGGGAAGTGTATGGGGTGGTGGTGCTGGGATGAATGAATGGCTGGCAGATTCATTCATTACGCTTATTACACCCCCCTCCCTCACCCCCCTCCCTCTTTCCCTCTTCCTCCCTCACCCCCTCCTCCTCCCCTCCCTCACCCCCCTGAGCTGTTGTTCTTCCGCCAAACACAGTTTTTCGCCCGTCAGTTCCGGAGATAATTACCAGGTGCAGGAGATGACCAGGTGTGGTGTCCCAGCCTCTCTGTGTCCCAGTGTCCTGATCTTCCTGTGTCCCTGTTTCCCAGCCTCCCTGTGTCCCAATGTCCCAAACCTGCCTGTGTCCCAGCCTCCTGTGTCCCAGCCTCCCTGTGTCCCAACCTCTCAATGTTCCAGCCCCTGTGTCCCAGCCTCCCGTGTCCCAGCCTCCCCTGTGTCCCAGCCCCTGTGTCCCAATGTCCCAACCTCCCTGTGTCCCAATGTCCCAGCCTCCTGTGTCCCAGCCTCCCTGTGTCCCAGCCTCCCTGTGTCCCAGCCTCCCCGTGTCCCAGCCTCCCTTTGCCCCGGCACGTACCGTAAGGACATACCAAACATAACTATTAACTATATGATAATAAAACACATAATAGGTAGGGCTACTTAGATCACTGGAGGCCACCACAAGTATACCTCACCTGGGCCTCTCACCACCACATAGTTTCGTGACAATTGTGAGAGGAGGAGGAGGAGGAGGACAATGGGCTCCACACTCCATCACGGGGCGGTGAGGGCCAACACAGACAGCGTGAGACTCCAAGTATTCCGACGGGGAGTGAACAGTGGGAGGGGGAGGTCATCCTTGAAGTGGGGTAGAGGTCATCCTTGAAGTGGGGGAGAGGTCATCCTTGAAGTGTGGGAGAGGTCATCCTTGAAGTGTGGGAGAGGTCATCCTTGAAGTGTGGGAGAGGTCATTCTTGAAGTGTGGGAGAGGTCATCCTTGAAGTGGGGGAGGGGGGTCATCCTTGAAGTATACCTTTATAGGGTCTTGGAGGTTGATGTGTCCCACCCCTCCACCAGGTACAGTACAGAGGCCATGTAGAGGTGGAGGTCGAGTAGGAGGACATTCCACTTGAACCTCCCAACCTCTAAGGACACAGTTAACCTCAGAGGATTTTAACATTATGAAAGACAAACCTCATTCCATAATAACTCTTCTTTATCCGGAAAAAAAAGTATTCACCCAAATGTATTCTTCATCATATCCGGTGTTTACTGTGTTCGTCCGTTATATAACCGGTGAGTGAACTAATTGTAACGTTTGTGGAGTGGTGGTAGAGGGGGGGGGGTCAGGAAGTGTGGTGCAGGAAGGAAATCCGCCACCACGCCAGGATACAGAGTTGACTGCTTCATTGCTGGATTTAAACGGTGGTCATAAGCTGGTGACTAAGCTGGGGTAGTGTGGTGAGGGATGATGGTGGTAATGTGTGGTGAGGAAGGATGGTGGTAGTGAGTGGTGTATGGTGAGTGAGGAGGATGGTGGTGTGTGGTGAGGGAGGAAGGATCATGGTAATGAAAGAGAGAGAGAGAGAGTGAGTGAGAAAGTGTGTGTGAGAGAGAGAGAGAGAGAGAGATGTGAGATACACTCCTCCCAGGTCAACGTTCAACTCTCACACACTGAACACTGTCATTCACACACCATCAACAATTTTTTGAGAGCTCGTTCACAGTGCAATTTAAAATGGAAAGTTTGAAGTAAAGTGTGTGTGTGTGTGTGTGTGTGTGTGCGCGCGCGCGCCCCCACCCCCTTTCCTGTTAACAGAATCATTACCTGTTGACTTGTGATCATCGTGCATAGATTAACAGGATAAACAGATCGTCGTCGGCCAGGTAATAAGAATCTGTGGTCTGAGCTGAGTAGGGGGGCGAAGTAACCAGGTCTCCCCTTCGTCACCACTTCCTGACGTGACCCACACACACACACACACACACACACACACACACTATTGACGTGACACTCAGCTCAGGTCTTACTCTCAGGCACCATCACGTTTCAACACCATTGTAATTTTTCATACGTTTTTACCGTTGTCATTTCTTATCTTCTTCATTAAAACGAAAGATGATACAGCACTTTATTATTGGTTGTTTTGTAGTTAGTATGTATTGTTTTGTAATATCCGGAATTTACTGTAACATGATGTAACCTGTGATAATGTCGATAAAGAACTCCATCCTGCCTCAAGAAAAAATATCACGTTATTATTCCTCGAGTACATGATTGGTATACCTCATCCAGTCTTGAACTATCCTGCTTCGTGACCATCCCCCCTCAACCCCCGGACGCGGTGTTCCTGCCTCGATTTAAAACCGCGTCGACCGTCAAATCAGAAAGTTGAGATGGCGTTTAGTAGGAGGGAGGCGATGGAGAGGTCGTGTGGGGGTGGGAGGGAGGGAGGGAAACGGTAGATGGGAGGGAGGGAAGAAGGGTGAAGAAAGGGAAATTGTGGAAGGGGGGAGAGGGAGAGGTACAGTCAGTCCCCTCCCCCCCCTCCCGAGGTCTTACCGTAGTGTTCTCGACTGTCACTAGATGTCAGGGTGTTGCATATACAGTGTGACTCTTCTATGTGTATATATGGAATACATGTATTATCTGTATACATACTGAATTGTATACTTGCATCTGTTTTATTTATACATATCTTAAATCCTGTTTGATGAATTAACTGATTAAAAATAAACTGAGCTGGTTGTAAAAGGTGTGATGGTGTGGCAGGTACGATGGTGTGATAGGTGTGATGGTGTGGTAATTTGTGGTTGGTGTGGCAGATACGATGGTGTGGTAGGTGTGATGGTGTGGTAATTTGTGGTTGGTGTGGCAGATACGATGGTGTGGTAGGTGTGATGGTGTGGTAATTTGTGATGGTTGTTGTGGCAAATGTTAGGTGGTGTTGAAATGTGATCTATAATGTTAAATTTGCGTTTGAATTGTGGTTGATGGTTAATAGAAAGTGATGGATGGTGGTAGAAGGTGGGGAGTGGTGGTAGATTAGTGGTAGGGAGGGTGCTGCTGATCCGAGGAAAGTGGTAGTGGGTGTTGGTGGTGGATGGTAGAAGGTGTTGGTGTTGGGTGGTGGTAGTGGGTGGTGATGGGGATTTAAGGAAGCCTCATAAGTGTACTCTGGGTGTCCGCCATCTGTCACTGTGAAGCGACAGGACAGGAGGGTGAGGGGGAGGTGTTGTCCTGGTGTAGGTGTAGCGCATGGAGAGGGTGGGTGTTGTCCTGGTGTAGGTGTAGCGCATGGAGAGGGTGGGTGTTGTCCTGGTGTAGGTGTAGCGCATGGAGAGGGTGGGTGTTGTCCTGGTGTAGGTGTAGCGCATGGAGAGGGTGGGTGTTGTCCTGGTGTAGGTGTAGCGCATGGAGAGGGTGGGTGTTGTCCTGGTGTAGGTGTAGCGCATGGAGGATGGGTGTATTGTTCATTTCTTGTATACACATGGATATAATTCTGCAGTTATGATGATTATGATAATGATGATGATGATGATGATGATGATGATGATGATGATGATGATGATGATGATGACAGGCAGGGCATCACCATATATAAATACCATTGATGTTACGGTGGCGTGCGTGCGTGCTCCCGTGCTCACCACTGGCTCGGGTGTCACTAACAAACTAAGCCGTGTCAGGTGTCACATCCAATCATGTGTTAGATGTTAGCTGTAATCAAGAGTTGTGCTTCAAGGCGTTACACTAGAGAGAGAGAGAGAGAGAGAGAGAGAGAGAGAGAGAGAGAGAGAGAGAGAGACCTTATATTTTCTTTGTACCGTCACCTTGGAGGGGAGCCAAATTTCCTCTGCTTTTACCTCGGTTTTACCTGCATCGTCATTCAGTTGTGCTTGACGTTGCTGGCTGCCTTTCCCTTATATAAACTGGCCGTGAGCCAGGCGTGGCCTCGGGGCTCTGCTCCTTCAACAGAAATCACACCTTAAGGGAGAGGAGAGTCGCGGTGAACCCTGGACGATATCTTGAGGCCGGTGTGAGTCAGTCAGTATTGGTCAGTATAATGAGTGAGTGAGTCAGTAAAATGAGTTAGTGAGTCAGTATAATGAGTGAGTCAGTCAGTATGGGTCAGTATAATGAGTGAGTGAGTCAGTATAATGAGTGAGTCAGTCAGTATGGGACAGTATAATGAGTGAGTCTGTATAATGATGCCTTCTGCCACCACCAGTTAGGAGGGAAAATATAACACAGGAGACATTGAGTTGGGGCCGTAATGCAGTAGCGAGAGGAAGGAGGGGTGAATGATGGAGAGGGGGGATGGGGAGGTAGGTGAGAGAGGGAGAGGAGGGGGGGGGTCACTGTGTCCACAACTGCAGCTCAGAGAGGGAGGTGACGGCGTTCTTCTTGTGTTTATCTAGCCTCCCCACCTCCTACCTCCCCCCCCCTCCATCATCTCCCACTCTTCCCCCTCTCCAACCCCCCTCCACTGTGTTTGTCTTGGCAGCGGAGGTACAGTTGTAGCCTCGATTCACGCAAGGATTCTTCAGCGCTGCCGTCAGGAGGTGGATGGATCTCCTGTCTCCTGTGTGTGTGTACGTCGCCTTCGGGTATAATGGATTGGTTAGGTTAAGTTTGCTGGGTGTAGGGGGGGGGAGTGTATGGTGGCGCTGGTGAGAGAGGGTGTGTCGCTGGTCTAGGGTGTGCTGGATGTGTAGTGGTACCGGTTACACATAATGAAGGTGTTTAGGTCCCTGGTGTGTGTGCGTGTGTGTGTGTGTGCGTGTGTGTGTGTGCTTGTGCGTGCAGGTAATCACACTGGGAGAGAAGCTGTTACCTTTACTGTCTTGGCTGGATCGTAAATTCGCCAGGAGAGTTCAGGAGTTATTTTATTTCCGGGCAACAGCTGACACGGCGAGGAGGTAACCATCAAAGGTGCCGTGTTGTTTTTGTCGATCACACACACACACACACATACACACACACACACACATACACACACACACACATACACACATACACATACATACACACACACACACACACCATCAAACTAATTCCAAACACGAAATATGACAGCTGATCATCCTCTTACGACCACCATTTCAGTAACAGATGTGATGGAGGTCTTGTAAACAGGAGGAGAAGGACCCGGTATAGATGATAGTAATAAGAGGTTTTTATTCAACAACAGGTAGCAGAGGACCCACATGGCCGTGGGTTATACTGTGTTGAGGCTGTGTAATCCCTGTCATAAGGAGGGAATAGAGGAGGGGGGAGGGACCCTTCAACAGCTGGTCCCTCGTATAGATAATAACTTCCTAGGAACTGAGAGGGACTGGGGTGAGCAGATGGTTGTTGTGGTAATGTGGAGTAAGAGTGGTGGTGTGTCGGAAGGTCGGGGAGGCTAGGAGGAGGCCCTGAGTTACCTGGAGGTTACCTGGAGGTTACCTGGACCACGTGCTTCTCCCTCTCGTGCCCCACGGGAGGAAAATTCCCCCCAAACAGTATCTCACCTGGACAGAATCCGTTGAGTAGTTAGTGAGATGTTGAGAGCTGCACGGACGTAGAATCAGCGGACACCACCAGGATTCTCAGGACATCACCAGCACTCTCAGGACATCACCAGCACTCTCAGGACACCACCAGCACTCTCAGGACACCACCAGCACTCTCAGGACATCACCAGCACTCTCAGGACACCACCAGCACTCTCAGGACATCACCAGCACTCTCAGGACACTACCAGCACCTCAGGACACCACCAGGATTCTCAGGACATCACCAGCACTCTCAGGACATCACCAGCACTCTCAGGACATCACCAGCACTCTCAGGACATCACCAGCACTCTCAGGACATCACCAGCACTCTCAGGACACCATCAGCACTCTCAGGACACCATCAGCACTCTTAAGACACCACCAGCACTCTTAAGACACTACCAGCACCCTCAGGACACCACCAGCACTCCCAGGATATCACCAGCACTCCCAGGACATCACCAGCACTCCCAGGACATCGCCAACAGTCTCAGGACATCACCAGCACTACAGGACACTTCACAACACCACCAGCACTCTTAGACATCACCAGCACTCAGGACACCACCAGTCCTCTCAGGAAACCACCAGCACTCTTCAGACACCACCGGCACTCTCAGGACACCAATCGCACTCTCAAGACACCACCAGCACTCTTAGGACACCACCAGCACTCCTGTGACACGATCAGCACTCTCAGGACACTACCAGCACTTCAGGACACTACCAGCACTCTCAGGACACCATCATTACTCTCAGGACACCATCAGCACTCTTAGGACACCATCAGCACTCACAGGACACCACAACACCATCAGCACTCACAGGACACCACAACACCATCAGCACTCTCAGACACCTTACAGGACACCATCAGCACTCAGGACACCATCAGCACTCACAGGACACCACAACACCATCAGCACTCACAGGACACCACAACACCACCAGCACTCACAGGACACCACAATACCATCAGCACTCTTAGGACACCACCAGCACTCTCAGGACACCATCAGCACTCACAGGACACCACAACACCACCAGCACTCAGGACACCATCAACACCTTGGCTGGGGCTGGCAGAATTTTCTCTTCAATAATTATGGTTGTCAGGCGAGGGAGAGGCAAGCACGAGTTTAATTAGCAGGGGAGACTTACCTCAGGGAAACCCACAGCATCTAGCAGAAGAACTAGCAGAGCAACAGCAAGCAGAGAAGTAGGCAGTTCACCTTGGGTAGGACAGACCTGCCCGCTGGCCAACACGCCGGGAAACTCGCCTCTCTCACACACACACACACACACACACACACACACACACTTTTTCTTCAATGTTTATTTTCATCCATGACTCGATAATTTTTACCGTCACTCAACTCACCCAGACTATTGGCTCGGAGGTGAAGTATTAATGCACAGTATTAGAGCATCTAGCGCCTGGTCCGTGCCCGAGTTCTCTCCCGCTTCCTTGTTTACAGGTGGCTGGAAGGTACCGTTGTTGAGCATCTTAATTCAGCCATCATACAGTGGCAATAATATAGTTGACGTGCTCTTGACAGTTACATCTCGTACGGGAGAGTTACTGCTGTTCACAACTAACCACCCAGTATGGTGTGACGATGAGTGAGGACGAGACCCACGCCCTCGTCACTATCCTGCCTGACTGACAACATTGTGGGCGTGCGACGAGATGACAGCACAGACACACGCCTCTTGCAACCCCCACGCCCGTCACTAAGCCTTGAAGAACTGATGTTTAGATTTGTATTATGAAGAAGTTTTATTGTTGATGTTGTTTTACTCTTGACTGATAAGAAATTAAGGGGGGAAGTTTCTCAGATTAAGGGGAGGAAGTTTCTCAGATTAAGGGGAGGAAGTTTCTCAGATTAGGGGGGGAAGTTTCTCAGATTAGGGGAGGAAGTTTCTCAGATTACGGGAGGAAGTTTCTCAGATTAGGGGAGGAAGTTTCTCAGATTAAGGGAGGAAGTTTCTCAGATTAAGGGAGGAAGTTTCTCAGATTAGGGAGGAAGTTTCAGATTAAGGGGGAAGTTTTCAGATTGTGTGGAGGAAGTTTTCAGATTAGGGAGGAAGCCAGATTAAGGGAGGAAGTTTTCTCAGATTAGGAGGAAGCTTGTGATTAGGGAGGAAGTTTCTCAGATTAAGGAGGAAGTTTCTGATTAGGGAGTGAAAGTTTCTCGATTAAGGGAGTGGAAGTTTCTTGCATTAAGGGGGGAAGTTTCTCAGATTAAGGGGGGGAAGCCAGATTATGAGGAAGTTTCAGATTAGGGGAGCAGTTTCAGATTATGAGCAGTTTCTCAGATTAAGGGAGTGAAGTTTCTCAGATTAAGGGGGAAGTTTCGGGGATTAGGGAGGAAGTTTCCTCGATTATGTGGGGATGGTGTTTTCAGATTAGAAGGAAGTTTCAGTCACTAGGTGGTGGGGGTGTTGAGGGAGGAGGCGTTAATAACACAGCGTCACCCTCAGGCAGCAGTTAAGTAGAAAATTCCCCGGAGAAATTGGTAGAACTATCGCGGTCATAATCGGTGTTACACTGGTGTTACTAGTCATAATTGGTGTTAATGTGTCATAATTGGTGTTAATGTGTCATAATTGGTGTTAATGTGTCATAATTGGTGTTACTGTGTCATAATTGGTGTTAATGTGTCATAATTGGTGTTAATGTGTCATAATTGGTGTTGATGTGTCATAATTGCTGTTGATGTGTCATAATTGCTGTTGATGTGTCATAATTGGTGTTAATGTGTCATAATTGGTGTTACTGTCATAATTGGTGTTAATGTGTCATAATTGGTGTTAATGTGTCATAATTGGTGTTAATGTGTCATAATTGGTGTTACTGTGTCATAATTGGTGTTAATGTGTCATAATTGGTGTTAATGTGTCATAATTGGTGTTGATGTGTCATAATTGCTGTTGATGTGTCATAATTGCTGTTGATGTGTCATAATTGGTGTTAATGTGTCATAATTGGTGTTACTGTCATAATTGGTGTTAATGTGTCATAATTGGTGTTAATGTGTCATAATTGGTGTTAATGTGTCATAATTGGTGTTACTGTGTCATAATTGGTGTTAATGTGTCATAATTGGTGTTAATGTGTCATAATTAGTGTTACTGTGTCATAATTGGTGTTGATGTGTCATAATTGGTGTTAATGTGTCATAATTGGTGTTACTGTGTTATAATTGGTGTTAATGTGTCATAATTGGTGTTAATGTGTTGTAATTGGTGTTACTGTGTCATAATTGGTGTTGATGTGTCATAATCGGTGACCATAATCGGTACAGCGCTTAATGGGTCTCTCCACTAACTAGACCAAACATGACTACAGTTACCAGTCGTGTTGTGACGAGAGAAAAGTAACATCTACATTTTGGTGGTAGATTTACGACTTACCGAAGTAGCTGTTACCTTTAACCCTCAGCTAAATAGGGAAAGCAAATGGGCTGCAATTGTTGGGTAGTTTTTGGTGGTTTCTGGCAGCTAGGTACTTGATCCCCTTCCTACCTCCTCCTCCTCCTACTACCGGTATTTTGGCAAGATTCTCACCCCCCCCCCCTCCTCCAGCCCCCCCTACCGGTACTATAGCTCTCCTACCGGTACTATAACAAGATTCTCACCCCTCCAGCCCCCTACGGTACCTATAGCCTCCTAATGGGTACTATAACAAGATTTCAATTCCTCCTTCCCTACCGGTACTATAACAAGATTCTCACCCCACTCCAGTCTCCCCCACCGGTACTGTGGCAAGATACTCAAATTTGGGTCAGGATTTCTTAATAGTTCTTCAATTTCCTGCCAGACTGAAGCTGTAAGAACGCGGGTAACTAGATCACTTGAGCTGACACACACAGGCGAATACCGTATAGGAATTTACCGTGTACACGGAAGGTATATAGAGAGTGAAAGAGAGGAGGGAGGAGTGGGAGAGAGAAGAGAAGAATAGGAGAGAGAAGAGAGGAAGGAGGAGTAGGAAAGAGGGGAGGAGTAGGAGGAGAGAGGAGGAGTAGGAGAGAGGGGGAGAAGTAGGAGAGAGTGAAGGAGGAGGAGGAAAGAATAAGAGAGAGAGGAGGAAAGGTGGGAGGAGTAAGACAGAAGAGAGGAAGGAGGAGTAGGAGAGAGAGGAGGAGGAGAGGTGAAGTGCCCACTGACCAACCGGCTGTGATAATTGGTTGTCCTGCTTGCCCTCCACACTCACCCTCACCCCACGAACCTACACTCACACCCCCACCCTGCACACCCTCACCCTCCCCCCGAGCCTGCACACCCTCACCCCAGCCTGTACACTCACCCCCGATCCTGCACACCCTCACCCCAGCCTGTACACTCACCCCCGATCCTGCTCACTCACACTGTCAGTTGATTCTGCAACACGTGGGGAGAGGTGAGAGGAGGGGAGGGGAGGGTTGGTGAAGGGAGAGAAAGAGGGAGGGAGAAAGATAGGAAGAGAGAGGGAAGAAGGGGGGAAAAAGTTAGTGAAGGTGTTGTCTTGTTTACACTGGTGACATAGTTCCATTGGCACAGTTTTAGTCCATTGGTTAAGGGCACCTGTACAGTGGAGGCACAACAGGTGAACATGAGGTGGTAGATTGGTGCACTAGTGGGGACAACAGTGAGCCTAGCGAGTGATTGGTGAGGAGAGGGTGGGGGGTGAGAGGTGAGGAGAGGGTAGGGGGTGAGGAGGAGGAGAGGGGTGGAGGGGTGAGAGGGTGAGGGAGAGAGGGGTAGGGGTGAGAGGGGAGGAGGGTGGGGGTGAGAGGTGAGGGGAGAGGGTAGGGGGTGGGAGGTGAGGAGAGGTGGGGGGGAGGGTGAGAGGGGGAGGAGGGAGGGGTGGGGGGGTGAGGTGAGGAGGGTGGGGGGGTGAGAGGTGAGGAGAGGTTCTCTGTGGGGGGTGACAGGTGAGGAGGAGATACGAGGTACCGTGTAGGTGACATGAGAGACACAGACATTTCCACCTGAACGATTCCCGGTCAAGATTTTTGTCTGTCTGTGTGTGTGTGTGTGGGTGGGTGGGTGTGTGTGTGGGTGGGTGGGTGTGTGGGTGGGTGGGTGGTCACTGTATAGGCCACCGCGTGTAGTTCCCCTTCCTTCCAATTTAATCCGCCTAGTCATCATCTTTTATTTCACTGTCCCTCCCCTCCCCTCCTCTCCCCCCCTTCTCCCCCTCCCCACATATAACATCTTTTGTCTCTTCCATCTCCCCTTCCACACCCACCCTTCCGTCCTCTATCCGCCTTGGTCGTTAAGACAATGTGAAAGGAGTGGAAGAGAAAGGAAAAGACACTGGGAGGAGGGAGGAGACAGTGGGAGAGGAGGGAGGAGGAAGGGAGGGGGACAGTGAGAGGGGAGGAGGGAGGGGGACAGTGAGAGGGG